ATTAACATGTTCATATGCACAGTAAAAAGGTAAATGGGCTGATACATCAATGTAATGCTCATACTGTGCTGGAACAACATACGAGGAACTGCTGCTTTTTCTTTCCTAATCCTTACTATCGTCATTTTCCCTCTACTTCTTTTGTATGTTTGTCACTTTCTTGTGAACTGCTATTTCCCGGGTACCTTGATAGTCGAAGCAGACTTTGTGCTGTTGAGGCTAGAGAGGTGAGCAGACTTTGTGCTGTTGAGGCTAGAGAGGTGAGCAGACTTTGTGCTGTTGAGGCTAGAGAGGTGAGCAGACTTTGTGCTGTTGAGGCTAGAGAGGTGAGCAGAGTAATCTGATTCCCTGTAGGTTTAAGGACTTCTCTGTTGACATCCACCCCTAAGCGCTCATAACAGTAAGACCTTATGAAGTTGCGAGCGCCGTAAAACCTTACTAAAACTAAAATCTACACAACAGCCGTGAGAAAAAGAACCAACAAGAAAAGGAAAACAGAACGAAAAGAAAAAGAGCTGCTGGCTTGTCTACAAGTGGAGTGGACAGGTGCAAGACTTGACACAGCATTTCTAAACATGAAGAACAACAAACAAACAAACAAACAAACAAACAAACAAACCAACAAACCAACAAACAAACAAACAACAAAAACAAAAAAGAAAAAGAGCCACTGACTGGCCCAGAAGTGGAATGGAGTCTGGGAACTTGTCGGTGAAGAAGTCCATGAGCTGTCGCTCGTCGGTGATGGAGCTGAAGATGTCGAAGGGCATGAAGAGAGTGGTGGTGAAGGATCTGTCCAGGTTGGGCAGGGCTATCATCATGAACTCGTTCCGTGGCCAGATGTGGAGGTAGTTGGCCTCCATGGCAAACTGGACAACACACAGGAGGAAATATACGTACAATTGACACCACACGGGAGGAAATATACGTACAATTGACACCACACGGGAGGAAATATACGTACAATTGACAACACACAGGAGGAAATATACGTACAATTGACAACACACAGGAGGAAATATACGTACAATTGACAACACACGGGAGGAAATATACATACAATTGACAACACACAGGAGGAAATATACGTACAATTGACACCACACGGGAGGAAATATACATACAATTGACAACACACAGGAGGAAATATACATACAATTGACAACACACAGGAGGAAATATACGTACAATTGACAACACACAGGAGGAAATATACATACAATTGACAACACACAGGAGGAAATATACGTACAATTGACACCACACGGGAGGAAATATACATACAATTGACAACACACAGGAGGAAATATACATACAATTGACAACACACAGGAGGAAATATACGTACAATTGACACCACACGGGAGGAAATATACATACAATTGACAACACACAGGAGGAAATATACATACAATTGACAACACACAGGAGGAAATATACATACAATTGACAACACACAGGAGGAAATATACACATACAATTGACAGTAGCAACATTCTACTTTTGTTGATTCTCCGAGGAAATTCAATTGACGATGGCAGACAGACAGACAGACAGACAGACAGTCAGATGGACAGACAAGACAGACAAACAAATAGACACAAATGCAATAATTCATCAACATTCCATGACGTCACAAAAATTCTTTAGACCACAGATGTCAAACTCAAGGCCTGCAGGTGACATCCAGCCCAACATGCAACCACATCCCATCTGCCCGACAAGTTCTGTCTCATATTATTTTTCTAAAGGCTAGGCATGTTTGACTAATCTGTGGAGACAATGTCGTAGAACGTGTTTTACGGCACTTGCAACACAACTAGGTCATTTACGTGACGAAGATTATAAGAGAATAACAAACACAAAAAAGAAGAGATAAGGGAGATAGATGTTTGAAAGGAAAGAAGGAGGTGAGATAAGGGAGATAGATGTTTGAAAGGAAAGAAGGAGGAGAGATAAGGGAGATAGATGTTTGAAAGGAAAGAAGGAGGAGAGATAAGGGAGATAGATGTTTGAAAGGAAAGAAGGAGGAGAGATAAGGGAGATAGATGTTTGAAAGGAAAGAAGGAGGTGAGATAAGGGAGATAGATGTTTGAAAGGAAAGAAGGAGGTGAGATAAGGGAGATAGATGTTTGAAAGGAAAGAAGGAGGAGAGATAAGGGAGATAGATGTTTGAAAGGAAAGAAGGAGGAGAGATAAGGGAGATAGATGTTTGAAAGGAAAGAAGGAGGTGAGATAAGGGCGACAGATGTTTGAAAGGAAAGAAGAAGGAGAGATAAGGGCGATAGATGTTTGAAAGGAAAGAAGAAGGAGAGATAATGGCGATAGATGTTTGAAAGGAAAGATGAAGGAGAGATAAGGGCGATAGATGTTTGATGGGAAAGAAGAAGGAGAGATAAGGGCGATAGATGTTTGAAAGGAAAGAAGGAGGTGAGATAAGGGCGTTAGATGTTTGATGGACAGCTTGCATAAGACAAGCCTAGACAGCATGATATTTGGT